AAGTGAAAGTTGCACTTTCTCATCAAAATATATAAGTGTAATACATACATATATAATTGATTTCTAAAATACATAAACTTAAACTCATTCATGAACTTGGTATGATCTACAAATATATCCTCTACATTTCGAAATTTATTGAAACATGCCATAACACACATAACTTGCAAAGCGTTACATGAGCAGTAGAATTGTAGGATTTTGTTTTCAATTTTGTAAGAGAAAAAAGGACCACATTTGCTTTTCAGGATGATTAAACTGTTTTTTCAGTTCAAGAGAATTGTCTTCTCCTAATTTGAGTAGCATGCAAAAGTTTGAATTTTTTTCAACCTTTACACGAATGGCATGGCCACGCGTTTCCTAATATATTAAGAAAAAACATTTAGTTATTCAGTAAATAAATTAAATGACTGGTAGTTAATCTAAATTTTTAAATTGAGGAATTACCAAATAAAGAAGAATTGTAAATACTTTGGATAAAGCCATTATTCATCACTTCTTTATTTTTGTGGTGATTAAGCTGCTGCGATTCCAGTGCTGTTGTGGCTATCATACTAACGAATGCCCTATGGAATTCAGGTCGCTTGTGAGAAGTAAAAAATTATACCGCTTTCTTCCAATTATAAAATCTATTTAAAATAAAAGCTTCAAGCAAAGCTTTTTTTCTTGAATTATATGGTAAAGGCATTTTCATTTGAGTAGCTTTGATGCAGGTGGAACAAAAAAATTTTTCTTTATCGCAGTCATGTAAAACGTACTTATGTTTTTCATTTGCAGCTTTTTTTTTCTTTTTTTGATGGAAATGATGACTGTCTTAAACAAGATCGTCAAGGCTGCTCTGTAAAAGACAGTGTCTTTGCTATTCTCTGTAAAAGACTCAACAACAGCAGTAGAATTAGTTGCATCATCTTACTGAACAAATGATAAAACATTTGAGTATTATTTTGGAAGCTATTAGCATTTTCAGATTCAAAAAACGATGTAAATGTTTCATTTTGATTTTCTTTTCTTAAAAAGTATTCACTAACCTTCTTCAATGTACAAGGTACAAGTTTTTTAATTGAAATTAAAAAGACTTATAAATAATGAACAAAAATAATACTGCCAAAGTTATCAATTTTGTACGCAAGAAAAAAACAACTAAACAAACGTTTTAACTGATCTCAAACTGCTTTGAGAATCATCGTAAGCGTGGGATTTCTAAAATTTGACAAAATGACTTTGAAACGAGCTTGAACTTTTTAAAATGACCATAAGTTTTGAAGATGACAATAGGTAGTGACCTTTTTGCGAAAATATTTCTATAATTTTTAAATTATTTTTTTTATTATTGTTTAAATACATTATGAATTTTATTTATTTTTTTATTTTTGAATGCTTGGTAAGTTTTCCAGGGTGGCGCTAGGTCCCAGCGATATTTTCCGGATGGGGCTCGATCCCCGAACCCTAGCGCGTTCTACGCTTATGAATGCATTAGGAAAAAAAAAGTTAAATTAAAAAGTCAACTTTTGTCATTTGCTACGCTTTCGTATCACGTACTTACAAGATATAATAACTTATAAGATATAATAATTTAATATAACAACTTATAAGATTTGTATGATAACATTTTTAGCATTTAGACCTCTCCCTCCTCTCTTTTCACAACATAATAACTCTTTAGTAACAAGTCCTGTACAAATTGCCACAAAACTACTAACCTCTCTTCCCTCTCCTAGAGCCTGACGTAATTTACGAACGACCCCTTACTAAAAAAAAATGGCGATGTTGTTTTATTTAAAAGCTTTCGCGCTTTCTCCGTGGAATAATAACCTAATATCAATTTGAGCTACATTTTTAAGGTCAAGTATAAACTTTAAAAATATCGAAAAATTGAACTATTTTTTTTTGGCTTAACAAAAACAAAATAGATCATTATCACATTTCACATTTCACCGCAAGCGCACTTGCCTCAGAAACATAGGATCAGCGGTTCAAACTCCACCTCTGGGCAAGTTTTGCGACATCGGTTAATAAGGAGACGTGAACTTCCAGTTAAATGTTTATCCGCGGTGCTCTGTGATAAGACCGTAAGGACTTCTTGGGGCATTTTATATATATATATATATATATATATATATATATATATATATATATATATATATATATATATGTATATATAAATTTATATGTATATATATATATATATATATATATATATATATATATATAAATATATATATATATATATATATATATATACATATATATATATATATATATATATATATATATATATATATATATATATATATATATATATATATATATATATATATATATATATATATATATATATATATATATGTATATATATATATATATATATATATATATCACATTTTCTTATCATAAGCAATACATGTTAAGGACGATCCAATTTAATATTTTCAAACGATTAAAAATATATACATTATGGACAAATAATAGATACAAAAGCACTTAGGGTGGAATGCAAGTA